TGATGGAGTAATTATTACCATATCAGACCTGCAAAGTCCCCTGTTCCTGCCTGAGGGCTCCCAGTTTTGACAAAGGATATTACCCCCGCCGCGGCGGGTCCCCCTGTTGATCCAGTTGCAAAGTTCTTATCCTGTCAAACAGCCTTAATCAATTTTTTAGAAACTCATAAAAACTTACAAATTTCCAGAAAAATCCTTTGCATTTCTTGACACTTCTCATTGCATTCGCCACCCTATGCTTCTTTAAGTTGAAGCAAATCTGCCTATGGATGTGACGAATCATAGGCAGTTAATAATTTTTGTATCTTGCCATCCTCAGACTGTAATGAAATAGATGGCTGGAAAAAAGCCACAAGTAACAATTTTAATCAGCTGCTAGATTCTCCTTTCATATTACCAAAGGCGTCCCGAACTGACTATAACCAATAGGCGAATCCTTGTTTACATTTTTGGCCTCATTAACGTATGCTTATTATTATCTGATGAAGCTAATAACATAAAATCTACGAATATTGAAAGAGCATAACAATTTCTGTTATCTCTGAAAATTTTAGGCTCGATTACCAGCCGCTGTTCGGGAAAATAAGACCGGACCCGGGAGAGGGCGAAAATCGAGCCTATAAAAAATTTGCACCGATGTAAATGTGGTGGTGAATTTTTAGGCTGGACAGTCTTGTTCATTCACATTATTTGTTGTTCAGGTGACGGTTCCATTAAACAAGAATCTCCTGATACATATCCGGGCATGGGTAAGAGATACCATGGAAGATCGAAAACGGAGGGGGAAGAAACGTCTGCTGATCAAATGAAAAGTGAAGATGGAGCAGAAGGGAAGAAAGTTATTGACGTAGAATCCGGAGCCGAAATAGTGACAAGTGAAGGTACCAGCTGCGCCTTCAAAGAGTGGGCTGTTCACCTGATAATCCCCCCTGATGCTGTATCTGAGCGTACGTCAATAGTGGTCCACGGATGGAAATACAGTGTCCTTTCACCCCCGCTGCAGGAGCATGAAGCCATCACTAGCAATGTTATTGAAATATTTTCCATGAATGGCCAAGAACTAAAATTTAACACCAAGGTGAAGCTGTCGCTATCTCACAGCGCAACACACCTACAGGGCTACGAGCTGGTGATAAAAAAGCTGATTGACAGGAAGACGAATAATTGGGAAGATGTGGATGGAACCGTGGACATACGTTGTCGTCAAGACTTCGAAGACAATCACCCTTCCCACATGAAAATACCGGACTTTTTCTTTCCGGTTGCTCAAGCTGATATATCTGAGTGTTCAGCATATGCAGTAGTTTGCCGTCTAAAGGCTTCTCCAACTTACACCGTCACATCTGGTGGCGGCTTATTCAGCCATCCTGACTTCCCAGGCGTGACAGTTACTATCCCTGAGAATGCTCTTGCACTTAACGCAAAGTTTCAGTTGGAGTTAAAGGTGCACGAAGTTCCAAATGAAGAATTTGAAGAGGAGGGTAGATTTCTTGGACCTGTATTGCGAATCAACTGTTTTGACGCTGTTCAGTTTTTGAAACCTGTCACTATTCAGTTGCCAATTTCTCTTCTAGAGCAACAAGACTTGAATCTAAATCCCAGAACATGTGACGTCAGAGTGCTGTTCCTCAAGTCCGATAATGGTCGAAAAGAATGGATTGAAATCACTGATGATCTTGTGAAACCGCCAACTCTTGATGGAAAGTTTGTAAGATTCCCTGTGGAACGGTTCTCTGCCTATTCGTATTATGTTGAGAGTAGAAACAAAAACTCAAGGTCTTATAAACAAAGAATTATAAATTTTCATAACAGCCGTATTTTTGTTCAGCCCAGACTGGCAGTCTTCTTCGGTTACTTTCGTCCGGATCTTTTAAAAATTTTGTGTCTGATGTGTTGCCCTGCTCACCTTAAAGGAAAGGTGGTAAAAAAGCTTGAAAAACGAGGTATAACGCCTATTTACAAAAACTCCAAGAAAGATATGACACCTTGGCACGATAAGGCATCTGTGTTAGTATCAGAAGGAATATGTCCATATATAAAGAGGGACATGGAGCAAATTTATCTTAGGCTGTTAGAGCACGATTCAGACGATGCTGAGTTGGAGGTTCGTTTTCGTGATGACCGAGACGTAGCACGAGTGGAATTTTTTAGCATTTTAAAAGCCAGAGCGCCTCCTTTGTGTAGATTGCACTTAAAAACGCCAACTCAGGGTGCGGATTCTTCGGACTTGTGGGAACTTACGCAACAACCTAGAACATTGAAGGAAGGCTGTCCAACGGAAGATGAACTAGAACATCTATCACAAAAAGTCTCTAACGATTGGAGAACGCTTGGGCGACGGCTAACTTTCCATGAATCACAGCTGCAAGAATTTGATGACTGCCATAAACAAATATCCGAAAAAGCATACGCCATGTTGTTAGCCTGGAAACAAAGGAGCAGCTCAGATGCCACCTACAGTGTTCTAAACAAAGCACTGTGCGACACGCGCGTGAATCGTAGAGACTTAGCAGAAGAATTTTGTCGGTACTGAATCACGTTTTTACCTTTTCCTACCGACTGAATTTTCTTCCCACTTCTTATCCAGAGGCGTAACCAGGATTTTTTCAGAGGTACGCACAATTCTCCAAATCGTTTTGCACTTCCCCCCGCCACCCTCTCTCCAAAAAGAAACTTCCTTCATCAAAGATGTGGTTACGTTGTAAGCCTAAGAGTTTTTTTCTGCATATGAAATGACATTAGCAACTTATGACTGATGTACGTCAATCATCTGTCATACAATAAGGCCACATACTCTTCCGGATTCGTGACTTTACTTCGTTACTGGGTTCGTTTCGTCTTTTTTTAAGCAGATGCAGCGCGTGAATCCGAATTGAAATGGTGCCGATTTGGTCAAGTCTCTATAGATTTTGAATCCGAAATTTAAATTGAATCCGATGCTTTGTAAATTCGCAATGTTTTGTACTGTAAACAATTTGTCCAATTATCCGGATACTTTTCCGCATTTGATCATACGAGTTTGCAGTAAAACCAAAATGGAACTGTCACTTTCATGGATATAAGGGCCCCTTAGGAACGACGACGGCGAGGGCAACGTAAACATCCCAAGCTATCATGAAAATGAATGCGCGTTTTTTTACTTTTATTTCAACTCTCTTAAAATGGCAGGTATATAGGTGAACCCATCCCTATGGAGTCTTGGGGACCGCACCCAACTTCGGACTGAGAAAAGTAATTGAATTGGTCCCTGTGTTTACTTCCTCCAAACAACGCCGCAAAAGGAAATTTACGGTTGTGTTCGTACGGGTTGTAAAGAAAAACGCGCTGCGAAGGAGACTTTTTTTTTCACTAGATATACAGGTATACGTTACTCAAGATTCCGTCCATTAATGAATTACTCAGTCGTTTCTCTGGAAACCGACATTTGGGTGGAAAGAAAAAAGTGCATTCCAAAGAAGCAAACAGAGTTGAATGAATTGAGGCAAACTGTGCTCTTAAAATAATCATCTTTAGATACTTTGCTTTCCTTTTTAGAATTAACTTTTTATTTTTTATTATTTATTCATTCTATATCCTTTTTGTGCACGACTTTTTCAGGTACGCACGTGCGTACCGTGCGTACAGGCAGCTACGCCCCTGTATACCTCGTTCTTTGAACCATGAATCGGAACAAGAGCCTAAAAATGGGTGTATACGAGTATATTCCTACCTCTATGAGCTATGAAGGGAACAACAGATGTAAGAGAGAAGCCCCTGCTCGCACGGGACGAGAACACGCTGCACGCGAAACAAAGACCACCAAAGTTAACTGGATCATGTAGCTGCATATTCGATCCTGAAACATCATATTCTTAATCATCATTATGATTACTATAGGACTATTAGTAAAATCATCTTTGGAATCTTAACTATGGTTTACAGTGCTGTTAATCATAGCTATGATTCCAAAAGGACCATTAAAATCATCTCTGGAACCATAACCATAATTAATAGTTCTATTAATCATAGCTATGATTCCAATAGGACTAAAAAAATCATCCCTGGAATCATAACCGTGATTCAATGATCACTTCACAGGTGGCCCTTGCAGGCTCAGCACTTTAGCACCCGCTAATTAAACACAATCCATTATGACAACATGAATAATTATACACTGGTCTGAATGTGGGTCACTTCCAAAACACCGTGATTCTTCTGAATGATGTTCACTGCATATTATTCTAAGCATGTTGTCATAACGGATTGTGTTTCTTAAGTGAACGCTTAAGTACTGAGCCTGCATGGGCCACCTGTGAAGTGATTTGTTAATTGTTAAGGTACCTCCAAATTCTTTTTGTATTTAGATAACACTTAGGGGCCAACAATCAAGCCCTCCTTTTCAGTATACCAACAAACCTGATTTGAGTTAGCAAATACTCAACGACACTGGTTTGCATTTCTCACTTTTTCGTGGGAACAAATTCTCCAAGTCTATTATACTTAAGTATCGTTGTAGTCCAACTCATCTTTAACATAATGGAATGTAAAATCGTGATCAGGTATACGTACAGTTCAATATTTTACAGTTCACTTGGCCTCCTACTGAATTTATGCTAAAATATTACAACATGTATCCATAGTCATATTTGAGATGCTTTTAGAACACCAATGTATCTAATAGTAACTATGGAGCTACACTTGAGTAGAATAATTATTAAAAGAAACATACTGGTAGGCATAACATTGAAACTGATACCACATGGATACAAAATCTATGGCGTTATTGAAACCTGAATAGAATCAGCTGAAGTTTTAAACCTGAGCAATTTTGAATTATTATTTGTTTTGTAAAATACTTGTGAAAAACATTAAGTGATAAAAAGCTATATAAAACATTACATAAATCAGTGCTGGTCACTTTACATACCAACCAGTCGTAGACAGAAATTGAAGCTGGATGATTCCAGATCTCTTCCATAAGGGCCAAATCCAGAAAAAATGAAAGAAAATATGCTTTTTATTATATTTTTATAAATGCCAATGAAATAACAGGTGAGCTTGTGTTCGAAAACATGACATCTTCACATGTCAAAATAACATGTTATCTTTGCACGTAAAGATCACCATTGCTATGGTACATAACAAATCACACCTTTTACAGCAAAAAACATTATTTATTTAATAACTGAAATGGCTAAGTATTTCTTATGGTATAAAATAAATGGAACATATTGCATGGCCGCTTGGAGATATGAAATTTCTCTTCTCATGTTGAAACAATATTTCACTGCTTCCAGCAAGGCTTACCCTTCCTCAGGCTCTGTTGGATTGGTATAAATCATACCTTTGTTGAGAAAAGCTACAATCATGGACAAAATTCTTATAATAAGTTGGAGTTAATTTGTGTTCTTCATGTAAAATCATGCATGCCCAACCCTATTCTGCACCCTACAGAACATTTGTTGGATACATGCATGCAGTTTCAATATGTAAGAGTGTGGGAAAACAGTGATAGATTTAGTACAGGGTATTTTTCAAAAGGGTAGCACCTTTCTATGAGCCAGGGCAAAAAAAAATTACAAATAAATTACAAATACTGAATCATTGTTCAAAAGACTTTCAATGCAGGACTGTAGCTTTTAGGCTGAATATTAGACAGTGGTACTACATCTTAAGAAGGAACAATAAATTCCTTTTAGCTTGTGTTTTGCTTTCCCCCAGTGTGAATGAAGAGGTATGTTCCCATAGCAATTTACCCATCATAACCTTAAAATTTATAGTATTCTCTGGAGCACTATCACATGGCTTGGCTTGATTTCCATGCTCTAAATGTTGTCACACACTTACATTGGGGAAACAGAGGGCCAGTTATTTAAATGTAGTTTAGCCAGTGTGTAACAAAACTGCGTTCTAAGCCATTTTCAATTTGCCCAACCGTTTTATTTAAACCATTTATTGTGATAGTTTTATGAAAGCATTATAGAGTAGACTAGCTAGAAAAGCATTTATCTTCTTAAAATAAGCCACTACAGGAAGAGATCTGGAGGTCCAAAGATTTGTTAAACCGCGGCTTAGGTTAGACTTCGTTTAAATAACCGGCCCATAAGTGTCTGTGGTAACGACTTTCCACCCCCTCATCCAACATGGTTGGGATTTTTTCAAGTCTCTCACGAAAAGAAAATGAACTTTTCCATTAGAATCTATTCGTATCCAATGTATCCGATGGACTCCATCGGAACGACTTTCCACCCCCTCATCCAACATGAGTGGAATTTTTCTAAGTCTCTCACGAATAGAAAATGAACTTTTCCATTGGAATCTATTCGTTTCCAATGGATCCGATGGACTCCATCGGAACGACTTTCCACCCCCTCATCCAACATGAGTGGAATTTTTCTAAGTCTCTCACGAATAGAAAATGAACTTTTCCATTGGAATCTATGCGTTTCCAATGGATCCGATGGGCTCCATCGGAACGACTTTCCACCCCCTCATCCAACATGAGTGGAATTTTTCTAAGTCTCTCACGAATAGAAAACGAACTTTTCCATCGGAATCTGTTCGTGTCCAATGGATCCAATACACTTGGTAGAACTTTACACCACTAGACTTCCCGTTTTCCGATGGAAAGCAAGGGGATACGACTGGATTCTAGTCGACAGTATTGGACAACCCTCTATTTCAGATAGTCAGGTCGTGCTTATATAGTATGAAAGCAGCTCAGTTGGAAATTTGATACAATTGTTAAAAACTTAAAAATAATACTGGTCAACAGGGATAAATCTTGAAAATAATGACTTGCGTGCAAAAGAACAAAGAGAAAAAAGGTCAAAAGGGTAAATAAATTCAAAGAATGTAACAAAAATAAACTTACTTTAAAATAATACTTAATAAATAGAGTTAATAAAATAAATTTCAAATAATAATAATGATCGCATATAATGATTGTAATAGGAAAGGGGAAGCGTTCATACTTCTAGCTGGATTTTTGAAACGTGACTGCTTTAGCTACGTTTTCAAAAATCAGTCTAGTTTTTTCGTTGCAGCTGCTTGTTAAATCCTTTTCTATTATTATTATCATTATCGTGATCATTATTAATATCCCTATTATTAATTATTCATTTGAATTTATATTTAGTTTCATTATAATTATGGATAGTTTAGTATTTATATCACTATATATCTATATATTTTTTCTTTTATTCATTTTTTATTGTAAATTCATTTTTGCTCCATTTTCCTACACTTATTTCCTCTTTTGATCTTCTTCTTTTCTTTAATTTCGTGATTCCAATTAGTCCAGCCGCATTTTATTATTTCAAATATTATCCCTGCTGGCCTTAGAATCGTCTGAGAAGCACACTCCTAGAGTATCTGAATTATCGGAAGAACTCAAGTCGCTTTTGTCTTTGCTGTTGTGTCAATTACAGCTTTATGGATTTAGCTGAAATAGACTGATTTGGGTGTCGTCTAAATTACTTAAGCTTCAATGGACGTTTCACCTATTAACGAATGACATGGCCGCATCACCATCATCGTCGTTGTTTGACATCA